CGACTTGCCATTTTACTGCAAGTCAAGTGGCAGCCTACCCCACTCCCTTGGCAAATCTCCAGCAGATGCAAGACAAGGACAGCCCAACCTTTCAATTCATGGTTTAGCATAATAATTTCTAAGAAACTTTTTAAGGTTCTTTGTTGAAGGCAGAAGGTCAAAGATCACCCCTTAGCTGACTGAAGCCACAGAAATGATAATAAAACCACATTTCTGCTAAGGAGATTGTGGACTGGAAACATCTGATGGGTCTCTTACAGGAAAAAAGCCCTCTCTCTGTCTCCTTCCCTTTAGTCCACCACCATGACAGCAATCACATGACTAACCCACCCATCTGCCTGCTGTCCGTCACCTGACGTCAGTACCTGCACAGTACCTACCCCTTCATGATGATGTGGAGCAGACTACTACCCAATCACCTTAAAAACCTTCCCCCATCAAAGGGGGAAGGATTAAAAGGACTCAACCATAAGCAACCAGCCTCCATTGCCTTACTAAGCTGTGGTGTGACCATGTGCTCTTTGAGCTATGACCAGGCCATGCTTTCCTAGGTTCTGGCTCCCTCTCCTTCCTTGGAAAGGTGATTCTTTTTCTCTCTCTCTCTCTCTCTTTCTAATTTAGTTTTTAAATAAACTATATTTTCTAATTTAACTTCTGTGTAATTCTTTGCATCTTTCATGCAGCATCAGATGACCCACCAAATACCTACACCCCTCAGTGGGCCTGACCTAACATTCTGGAGGCCCCACTGGGAGTGAATCTTAACATTTTGGGGGGTCCCACCAAGATCTCACAGATAAATATGGAAGAGTGATACATGGAAGGCCAGCAGATTATTTTAGGGTAGTGAGATTTTTACACACACACACACACACACACACACACACATACACGTGTATGTATGTGTGTATATATATATATATATTTTAATCCATGTTCATCTGTCTTTTCTAAATATTTCTATAATTAATGTGAGTGTGAAGCAAGAAGTGGCCTTAAGTAATCCTGGAGCAATAGACAGAGGCCAAGCCATGGACTATGTGTTAGCTGTTTCTGTTCCTCATTCTTATGTTTTCATTTCTCCCCTTTCTGGGCACATGGAGGGTTATACCTTATTGAAGCTAGGTACTGCCACATGATTTTCTCTTTAAATGTACTGTGAGCAGAGGGATATCTGTCACTGTCAAGGGGAAGCTATTGAGATCTGCTGCCTGCGCATTCCCGTCCACATGCTGTGGAGGCTGGTGATGTTATAGGTAGTGAAGGCTTTGTCCACTTGGGCCCTGGCTAACCATGATAGATTGGGTCTACTGACCAGGGGTGGTTATGAAGTGTGAGCAAGTTATAATCATGGGTCAAACATGGAGATTTGGGGGCAGTTTCTTACCAAAGCACATCCTAATTGATACAGAGGATTTTGTGAGCCTTGCTGAGGAATTTGGACCACATCTTGTTGGCCATTGTGAAATACAAAAGAACTTTGTTTTCTTTTGTTTTCCCAATCCAGAGAGCAAGCTCTGGTCAAACAAGGGCTGAATTTTTCCTGTTCTAGATCACATGTCCTAGTTCTAACACTTCTTCATAAAAGTCATGATTTCCTTGGTGGTAATAGAACAGTTCTCTATCTTGAATAAAGTATAGGATTATGCAAAAGTATATACAAAAGAAAATGAATGCTGTCCCCCTCCATGTTGAGAACACCTTAATGACTGTGATCTCATAAATTATGTTTTGCAGATGTTGATATTTGCGTTTTGCCAAGGTTTTTCACATATATATGTAATATGTTAGCATTGGGGGAAGCTGGGTGATGGGTATGTGGGTGCCCTTTGTACCATTTCACTGCTTCTTGTGGATCTATAATTAGTACCAAGTAAAAGTCAACAACAATAAATTCATGGATTAAACTGAGAAAATGAATTGTGGTCAGTCGCAGAATCACGGCTAAACTTGGCAGGAAATCTCACATTGCCAAATCGAGGCTCTTGTCCTCACCTACCAATCAGCAGTTCACCCCTCAAATATGGGCCCTATTTGCAATCTGTCAGTCACTACATTCCTATTTAGAGCATTTCCCACTACAAACATTTCTATAAAGCTGCCAAGTTTAGTAGACAATCGGAAGTGTAAACCCCATCAACACACATATAAACACATGCACACACCCTAATTCTAAAGGCTACATTCTTTCTCCCCTGGACTGAACACATTGCATACACTTTCTCTGCATTTCTCAGGGTTGGTAGCAGAAACGGGAAACCCGATACCCTGGGCAGGAGAGTTACCTGAATAATAGTGTGTGGATTTGAATCACTATCCCCAGGAGCCTAGTAACCCGCAGCTTGTGGATTAGTCTGTTGAACTACTTGATGGCTTGTGACCCCTTGTTCCCTTAGAAATATATGTTCTGATTTTGTTCTTATTGGTAGTGGCAGTTCTGTGTTTATTTTGAAGTGAAGAGAGAGAACTGAAAAAAAATTGACCAATCGTAATTTACAAATACAGAAGAATGTATGGGCCGCTTGGTCTGCTATCCTTTTTGTTGAAATACTGCTTTGGGGCCACCATCTGGGAATGTTCTCCTTGTTTTATGGAGAAAATATGTACACGCATTTTTATAATACTTAGCCCTCATGACCCTCAGGGTTTCCACTGGGGGCTTGGCTGAAGGAACAATCTCTTTACCATCCCCTCTGCAACAAAATGAATATCTCATTTTCTTCTTGTGATACATTCACATTTCAGTAAGAATCTATGTATGGCAGTGAGTGTCATGTTCAAGTGAAGGGAGATGAGGACCAGAGGACATAGGATGAGGGTAAAAAGCACTTTATTTGCTAACTCTGAAAGGCAAATTAAGTAGTTAAGTGTTTATGAGTTCTGAGAATCTCTATGGGGAGTTGATATCTTGGACACTTCGGAGAGATTTTTTTAAACAATCAGATAAATATCAGTTACTCAGAAAGAGAACATAACAGGGTTCTGTTCCTCATCTGGAGGGTCCATACCTTCTACACAGGGTGTGACCTCACTCAAGTGCCTTTGCTCCTCTTGATGAATTTCCTTCTTTATAGGATGAGAGGCATGGCCTCATCTTTCAGTGGACCCTCCAACTCTATTATTCCCTGATCTTTGGAAACAAACAAAATCCATGTATTGGCATATTTCCTTTTTCTGGATTGGGTTAATTCTTCTCCTCCTCCTTCTCAGTTCTGCACATTTGAGCATCTGGCACTATTACGCAAGACCAGGAATTTAAATCTATGCTAGTCAATCTTGCATTTGCCACTAATACACTGTTGGGGTTTGGAGCAATTATTTAACCACCTTTACTTAAAATTGGACTTTGTTAGCAGACATGACCTGGGTATTCTAGGTTCTAACAGTCAGTGATCTGCTCTGATGTTGTCATCAAGGAGCACCCTGGGGCATCATTGACATCAATATATCCACCATGCTGTACTTTAGCTCGTATAAATTACCATGTATTGCTGAGTGGCATCAGGGCAAGAATTAAGCCCAACAGACATCTCCTCTCCTAGTTAAATTTATTAAATACCATCTCTCCTCTAGATGTTGGGTGCAACACGTCTTCTCATGACCCTGTGCGTAGATCATTAAGCTTCATCTTTTAAAAATGGGGAAACTGAGGCTCAGAAGTATTCAGTGGTCCAAAGTAAATGTATTTTCCAGCAACCACGGCATGATATTTATTGTTCAAGGCTTAGGACTTTGGTTAGAGCCCAAGACTCAGGTGGCCAAAAGAAACCAGCTGCAGATACACTGATCATAGCACAGTCCTGTCCATTCCTGAATAAGACATGAAGGGTGGGGCACATTCTCAGCAGTGCCATTTGCATCCCCATTCACAGCATTAGAGGTATCATGTTATTCTCCTTAATCTTACTTAAGCATCACAGTCTAGACTAGAATTCCCAAGTCAACTGTTTGTTTTATGGGACTCTTCTAACCTGAACAGGCAGGTTCACCCAGTGTTCTTGGCTTAATGTTCTTTGGAGGAGCTAGGTCTAAGAAGTGAGAGTATTTAATCCCACATGCTGAAGTCCATCCAGACTGAAAAGTTGGGAGTGCCCCACAAACACAAGGCAAGTGAGGTGACTGTTGCCACGCAGAACACAGCAAGTGGAACATGATTGCTTCAGAACCTGACTTTTTCACTTCTTCTGATTTCTTGCCGAGAGGGACCTCGGACTTTGGCATTGAACTGACTTGGGGTCAGTTCTTGCTCCCAGCTTCTCAAGTCTGTGGTCTCTTAAGATGCCACATTGTGAGATGGGGAAAACAGTGCTTGCCTTTCAGTTGTTGTGAGCATTAAGTGAGATGGTGTGTGTCAATGCCCAGGCCATGATAGGCTCTGATTACACAGTAGCCATCACATTATTATCATCATCGTTATCACCATCATTATCCTGATGTACCCCACCTGTCTAATAGAGTTTTCTGAGTTGCTAAGTCAGGGTTCTTTTGGGGGGATCTAGGTCTATCAGAGTCCATCAGTATAAATGAGTCTTGCCTGCTTTTGTACTTTCTATAAATGAGTTGTGTTTGATTTTTGATGCAGGTTTAGTGGAAACGTTTCAGAACTTGGTTGGCAGTTTTTGAGATTAAAATGTTGCCCACTGCATCTTTGCATGAGCCAGGCTTTGTCCTGGCATTCCTTTCTCCTTCCAGCTTTTTAGGACACAGACTGAGAAGAGATAATGTTAGCCTGAAGACCCTTTGGAGCCTCTTCTGTGCGCTGTGTGAAACACAACACAACCCCCAGCCTGTAGGCTTAGCAGAATCCCAGCTTCACATCCTCCCCGAACTTGGCAGTAAAAGCCTGTTCTTCCCTTCATTCCAATGATTTATATTCTCTCTGGGCGTCTAATATTAAACAGGGGAATTCCGACATGTTCCATAACACATTTACTGTAACTTGATACCATGAACTAAACTTGCTATTATTTATCATTTCTTTTTATTTTCTCTCATTCCAGCATAAAGCCAAGGTAGAAGCAGTGACCCTGGATCTCGCTCTGCTCCGTAGCGTGCAGCATTTTGCTGAAGCGTTCAAGGCCAAGAATGTGTGAGTGTTCCAGTGGAGGGTTATAGATCATAATTTCTTGCTATTGTAATGTCTTTATCAGATGAACACAATTGGGAGAACACAAAGCAGTTGTGTTGTCTTGGCGTCCAAACAGGAGGCTCATTTATATTGGCCCTATTAAGGTGAACCATATTTTCTTGACTCTAAGTCACCCTCATTATGAGACGTGTCATCAATCTAATAACAGCTTCCCAGATAAAAAAAAAAAGAAAAAAGAAAAGACACTATTAAAACACTAGTAAAAGTGACTAATAAAAGTCAAGCAATTGTAACATGCCTCCTGATTAGAGATATTTTTGCAATGCTTTCTTTATCAAGGAAAAATATATTTTAATTGCATTCAAAAACAAGTAAACTCAGTTATCTAATACTATAAAGGATGCTGAAATCCAGGCATGAGAAAGATCTACTGTTTCCAAAGCATTCCATAATTTGATGTTGGTGCATGAATATGGCTCCAAAAACATAATCTCACACAGGGAAAAACTTATTCCTTTTTAAAAAATTATTTTTCAGTCTTTCAAAATTCCTGGAGGAGAAAGTTTTAGTTAGGGGCTGGGATACTTTGTTGCTATTATAGCAACATCTTTTTGTAACAGAGAGAAGAGGCAAAACCGGGTGTGGGGTTGGGGGAGAGGCCTCACATTCCAAGCTAAGGAAAGCAATATGACTAGCTGCGGTAATTACACTATTTTATTTCCAAGTGTTTATTTTTACTCATATTTAGGGCAAGCAATACTCGTTTCTCGTTTAACGTAGTGATTTAAATTTCATTAATAAATAGCTTTATTTAATTTTTTTCAGTGCATTAATTCAAATATGAGGATTAAGTTAATAATAGTACAGGTAAGCCGGGCTCGGTGGCTCAGCCTGTAATCCCACGCCTTTGGGAGGCTGAGGTGAGTGGATTGCCTGAGCCCGCGGGTTCGAGACCCGCCTGGGCAGCAAGACCTCATCTCTACAATAAATCAAAAAATCAGCCGGGCGTGGTAGCGCATGCCTATAATTCCGGCTACTTGGAAGACTGAGGCTGAAGGATCGCCAGAGCCCAGCGGGCGAGGCTGCGGTGGCCGGGAGCGGCCACTACACTCTAGTCTGGGCGACAGAGTGAGACTCCAACTAAAAAAAATAAATAAATAAAAAATAATAGTACAGGTAGTGCCAAGGATAAGATAATTACGCCGTTGGTATCAGAACCACTGAATCTGGAGAACTCTGGTAAATGACAAGCTGTCTTTGGGTTAGGCTCTGTTGGGAACATCAGTTTTACAGTTCTCCAAGCAGATGAAGGATGTGAGAAAAGGGATCTTAAACCACATATTCAAATGGCACTGTGTGACGCTGACCCCACAGTGCTGTTGATATCCAGCCCTTCTTACGTCCCCTTAGTTTCTCCTTCTGCTTTTCTGGACTGTTAAAAAGTTTGCCCTCTAAGTCTCTTTCTGGAGTTAGCAAGCGGCCTGGGCCCGTGAGGTCAGAATCTTTAGTGAGAGTTGCATCATCCTCTAAGTGCAGGTCATGGGATTGCTCATAGGAACAATGAGATAGATAGTCTGCCACTCAGCGTATCGGAAAGAGCCTTACTGTGTGCCTTTTGCTGTGCTTGGTGATTGGCAGCTACTAACCCTGGCCAGAGCTATCAGAGAACCTCAAGTCAGTGTGTATCAGTAGCTTTCAAGACATTTGTCCAATTACTCCTTTATCATTCATTCATCCACTTGCTCATTCACTTCACACATATCTAATGGGCCCCTCCAAAACCCCAGGCATTCTTCTGAGATCTGGGAAAAGGGTGATGGCCATTGGAAACCACACTAACCTCAAGCAGGCAATCATCTCAATTGTCAGCAAGCATGTTTTATTATGGATGACTTCTCAACCTAATCTGTCTGTGGATGTTTGGAAGGGATTAACAACAGCAGAGGTAGCAGCTCATTTATTGAGGACTTACTATGTGCCACATACTGAGAAAATTTTGCATGCATTTTTCTGATTTAATTCCCAAAGCAATCCTTCAGGGTAGGTGCTGTTATTATCTCTATTATACAGATGAGGAAAGTGAGGCTAAGGAAGATGAGAAATTTGTCCAAGGCATGTGATAAGTATAGGGACTGAGTTAGCATCTTCCCCCAAACTACATGCTATCCTGTCTTTCATCTTAAATGTGATAGAAACTGAGTCTCAGAAAAGGTGAGTGACTTTCTCAAGGGTGCTTTGCAGTTTGGTGGAGAGATGTAGGATTTCAGTCCAGTTCTTCCTTCTTTTCTTTCCCTGATATCATGTGACATCTTATATTCACTGCCAACGAATGGCTCTTTTCAATTTCTGTGTCAGAACGCATTGGAAGTGAGCAGCTTTGCTGAAGAGAGCCAACTGTTACATAATAGGATCATCTTCCATGTCTTACCCGGACCATTAGTTTTTAACCATTAAGTAGTTCGGAAATCATCAAATTCAAGTGCCTTTTGTAATCACCCAGCTCAGATCCTTGGAGGAAGCTATCACCCATTTTGCCCTAATCCTAGATTTTAGCACAAGACTTTGAATTTTTATATTCCTAGGTTCAGAAACAAGGACGATTTTCCTTTTAGAACTCTCTGTAGCACAGACCTCTTTGTATCTGTCCCTAGAGAGTACAGGATTTTACATGGCTTAGAGAAATATTGTGGTGGCAAAAATATGCATAAAAAAGCGAGCAATTGTACTTTTGAAATACTGCCAAAGTGAAATCTCTCATGGATAGGCAGATGACAGTTTAGTACTTACAGGACTTTAGATTCTGAGAACTGTCAGAAGTGAATTTAAGTACTGGTGACTGGGCTGCCAGAGAAACACATGTAACTCTATTCTTATCATCACCCCCCATCTTCAGACATTAAAATTTCCTTGTGTGTAAAACATAATGACAAATGAAAGAAAAGTTGCCAGTTCAGAACCAATCTCTTTTCGTGATGTTGGATTGAGAAGAGGAAAAACTCTTACATTTAAATTCCATGTGGATGCCCCCATTTAATATACTGTTTCAAAGTCTGTGCATGAGCAAACCCGAGTATTATCAGGCTCCATGTTCCTGTGCATATTACCTGGGTTCGACTCGAGCTCAAGTGTGTTTCCTCACCCTGGGATAGGCGGCATATTGTCTTGTCTCAGACTGAAAAAGGTAGAAACAGATGCTTAGTGCAAACGTGGGTGGAAAATGCAGCTCATTGTGCTGTGCAGCCACCCTCCTTCTGCCTTTTAGCAAGAGGCATGGAGTCAGCCTCTTCTTGGATAGCTGCTGCTGCTTTTTCAGTGGTGGGGGTGGGAGGTGGGTGGGTAGAGGAAAGGGGGAATGGGAGAATGGGAATGAGGAGGTTATTTTAGAATAATCACTGCTACTCATAATTATATAAACAGTAGCTGAGAGCCAACTTTTTGTTTATTCTGTGTAAGACAATGTGCTATGCACTCATATGTACGTTATCTCTTCAATTTCTTATACTGGCCCTAGACGTTAGCCGTGATCATCCCTATTTTTTTTTTAAGAAATAAAAGTTTATTTAAAAGCAAATTAGAGAGAGAAAGAGAACAAGAGAAGATTCACTTCCCCAAAGTGGGGGAGGGGGACCAAAGCCAGGAAGCATGGCGACAGCCATGCCTCAAAGAGCACATGGCCACACCAGACTCTAGCAAGGCAATGGCCCCCTATTTTACAAATTAAAAGGTTGAAGCACAGAGAGTCTAAGTCACTTTGCCAAGTTTAGCAAGTGATAGATCCAGAAATTGAACCAAAACAGTCTGAACCTAAAATAACGACTGTTTTTGTTGCTTCTCATATTTCAGTCATATATTTTTCAGTATAGATTTCTGTATTGGTTATATATTGCTCAGTAACAAATTATTCCAAAATTTAGTGACTTAAAACATTAAACAATTTCTATTCTCTCCCTGTTCCTCCCTCTGTCTTTTTCCTCTTTCTCTGCTTTCCTCCCTCTCTGTTGGAGTCAGGATTTAGATAAGATCAATGCATTCTAATCTACTGGTTTTCCTTTTTTGTTTCTTCTTTTAAAACATATGTTTAAATGCAACATATTTGTATAAGGGACTAGGGTGTCCTCTATAGATATCTGTAGTCTATACTTCGATGATTGCTTCCCTGTGGTGTCACTTAACATATTCTTTTGTCTCTTAAATTTCCTGTGATGGAATAGGTAACTCAAGAGATTTGATCAGTGTTTAATTTTAGGTAATAATACTTCCTAGGTGGTGGTATAGTCTTTCATGAAGAGGACACATGGTATAGCCTTCCACTGAGAGGCCACATAGGCCTGGTGGCCAAAGCCAGTATTTGGAAGGCTCGCCTCCTCCTGGCCTCCTCTGTCTGCTCTCTGTTTGCTTGCGTCCTCCCATTTTCATTCATTTATTCTGTTATTCTTCCCTCACTTTTCTGGGTGGTCAGCCCAAGAACCCCAGTCTGCTTCCAGATAGTCCTCCCCAGAGTTAGCGGTAGTGGTGGTCGTCAGCCAGTGTGTCTCAGGTCAAATTATTTTGGGCATGACTGGAAAGTTCCAAACCAAAGCCTGTGGTAAGTCCCACCCAAACTGAGTTTTGAAGGATATTTTTGTTTAAACTGTAGCCCTGGAGAGGAGCCAGACTCCACACCGCCTGGCAGGCAGAGGCATCTATCAGAATATGAAAAGCTGGGTCTCTTTCTAATCATTCAGACCAAATATTGGGATTTTCTGTAATGGACTTGAAAACCTCAGTTGTTTTTTGTTGTTGTTGTTGGTTTTTTTTTAGGGGGGTGGTTTTGGTGATGGTTTTGCACATTTTTGTTCCCAGTAGTAGCTTCTTAGTTTACTGAAAAGTATACATTTTGAACAAAGCTTAGAGCTAGGTGTCCCATAATACTTTTTCTTTTTCCAAAAATGTTTTATAGTTTGAGTTCCATATATCCTTGACAAAATGGACACTTCCTTGGAAATTAATTGAAACTGATAGGAA